CATAAGCAGAAATAAATTCCATACTGGAGGAGAATAGAACCATACTGGAGGAGAATGTTCACCATTGATGAAACTGGCCTTATCCCCAAAGTCTGGGGTATGGCCATCGTCATCCCCTTTTATAAGAAGGGAAAGAAAGAGGATCCGTCAAATTATAGACCAATCAGTCTTTTAAGTACTGTAAGTAAGGTCTATACTAAACATCTGCTTGAAAAATTTCTGGTTTGGCTAGAGCAGGAGGATATTATAGTGGAAGAGCAAGCAGGCTTTAGAGCTGGTAGGTCTACACTAGATCACTGTTTGACGTTACAACATCTTATTGAAAAATACAGCTCTGGAGGACAAACGTCACTCTATGCTGCATTTGTAGATCTAGGCTTTGGGAAAAATTACAGGCTTCCACAATTGACAAACGATTGCTGTTTCTCATCTGGGTCACTCATGAGGAAACTGCCCTTAAGAGTTAGGTGCAGTCCTTTTGGGCATCTGACTGACCCTGTACAAACCTCTAAGGGAGTCAAGGCAGGGTTGCCTCCTAGCCCCTTTTTTGTTCCTTTTCTACATCAATAATCTGGCAACTTTTATATCAGATCCTGGATTTCATCCCCCTAAACTAGCAAATCGGCACATTCAAGTGTTACTATATGCGGATGATGCCGTAATAATCTCTAAAACTCCCATAGGGCTGAAACGGGCTCTGAAAAAATTCTCCCTTTACTGTAACACTGAACATCTTATAATTAATGATCAGAAAACTATGGTTCTGCCTTTCGGGAAAAATGCTAAGATTAGACAATGGGAACTTCAGGGCCATAAGCTGGAACAAGTTTCCCGCTTCAAATATCTCGGCATAGTACTGCAAGCTTCTGGCACCAATATAATTCATAGTAGCTGTGTCGTCGATGCAAGAGATTAAATAGCAAATAGTATTTTGAAATTTCATCAGTCTCACGGGGGGTACTATGTACCAGCTGCTCTTAAGACTGTTTAAAGCTAAGCCCAGCTGATTTACGGAACATTCCTGGGGCCACCATCCTCCTTCGCCCCACTTGAGAGAGTCGAGTCTAAATTCCTTAGAGCATTAATACAAGTGTGTACCAAACACTTGGGTCAGATTGGAAACAGGAATGCTTCGGGTAGAGGCTAGAATTCGTATCCTCTCAATTTTTAAGAGGGGAGCAGGAAGTATAAACCCCAGGGGTCTGTTCCCTTTAATCCTTCAGGACCAATTCCAGTCCAGTTGGCATAGGGTGGCCTTGAATTCCATCCAGAAACTAGGCTTCCCTCCCCTATCTCGGTATAGACCAGGCAAAATCACTCATTAAGCAGAGAGTGACTGACACCAAAAGACAAACGAATATTCTCAGTTCTCCTGGCTATTTCTCTCCAGCAAATACCAGATATATAGTTGCTCCTGCAGCTTATTTACATTTTCTCGAATCCAATAACTCTAGAAGGGCATTCACTTTAGCCAGAAGTATGTACTTGTCGTCTGCAGTATTGGAAGGGAGGTTTAAAGGGACCCCTTACTCAATAAGGTTCTGCTCCCGCCCCCTCCACGAAATAGACTCTCGGGAACACATATTCTTTAACTGGGTATACCATAGTGCAATCCACATGGAGACTATTAGTCCATTGTTAGAAAGGTTTCCTGGCAGATCAAATAGAACTAAACTCGACTACCTCCTGTCTGACAGGAACCATCAGACAACAAGACAGGTGGCTAGATTTTGTGCCCAGGTTTACAAGGAATGTAAAACGCATGGCAATTAGACTAAGCTTGTATCTTTTACCTAAATTATACATGCGTCTTATGGCTGTTTTATTCTATTTTTATGTTAGTTACAGATTTTTAATTTAAGAATGCCACTGTTGGGTTTTATTCCATATATCTTATTCACATGTTTTTATGTAAAATGACTGAGTGTGCTGGTTTGTTGACCATAACAATAAATCTGATCTGATCTGAATTCTATAGTGGCAAAAGGCTGCATGCAGTCCATATAATGAGGTTTCGGATTAGGCTCCTGGTTAGTATAAAGTTCCACTTAGTTAAATGCAGATAAGCACATTTGTTTGGGCAATACATGACCTTAGCCTTGACTCCTAAACTTTGATTCCACTTGCACCCCTCTTCATTCATTGCAGAGGCAATCCTTTGCTGGTCTGGTTTGTCCTGGTACACATGCAAAGCAAAAACACTTTCTGTGACCACTTGTCCCATTCTGCCTTAAAATACAGGAAGCATCACATTGCAGGGGCTGCTTTGGCTATGCAGAACATAGACTGGTGCTTAATGAGTTTCGCCTGCTAATAACTGTGTCACATACTCTCAAACTCAACGGTAATGTCAGAGCATCCTGGATACGCTCAATACTGTTAGAACTGTGGGTAGAACTTGCATCATGCTACTGACTTGTGACCCAAGTGTGACGAATACTTTTTAGAAATAGGTCTGTGTATTAGTTCGCATTTCACTGGAAATGCCTTTCCAAGACTTCTTCTCTGCCACTCTTTCAAGTGCCCCAGTCACAAACATAGCAGGATCTAAAGAGCTGGCATAGGAAAAACATAACTTCAAACAGCAGATGCAGCTCCCTGTTCTGATGGCTTGGGGAATAAGACTGCTGTCCAGTGTTCCCTCTAAGCTGAGTTAGTGTGAGCTAGCTAACCGTTTTTTTTTAGCCTGTAGCGCACACATTTTTGTCTCAGCTCAGGAAGAATGGCTCCAGAGCAAACTAATTTAATCAGCAGCCAAATTACTCGCTCACAACTTTAATGCCAGTAGCTCACAAAGTAGAATTTTTGCTCACAGGACTCCACAGCTTAGAGGGAACATGGCTGCTGTCTATTCAACTTTAAAAGGAACAGCTCACGCTGAAACAATACCTGGGACACCAGAATGCAGCCAGCTCAAGCACAAGAAAATTGAGACTGGACTAATGATCGACATCTATGTAACATTACTGCCACCCAGTGGAATCAATCAGAACTTACATTCCAGTACTGATCAATTTAACATAGAATTTGTTGTTCAGAATACCAATGGACAATCTGACCAGCATGTTCAAGAACTAATTTAAAAACAAAAAACAAAAACAGGCGTCTGATGACATCTATAAAGTATAATACATGATTCATTTCAGGGTCAGAAGTGGAAATAAAAGAGTGCATTTCCCAATGTGTCCTTACAAACGTGTTTAGTGTTTAGGACCAAGAGGCATAACTGAACTATTCAGGATCACATTTACAAGAGATGCTAAATCTAAACAGCAGCAAGATGGAATAGGGGAGCTTCTTTGATGATAAATCTTAAATAATTTGACAAACAGCAGACATAGTTACATTAGCAAACCTAATAAGAATGAGGAATGGATATAAACAGAATAGTGTATTCAAAATTGGGTCCTGTTCATTCAGACCCAGAATCAAAAGTACAAGGCCCGTATATAGCCATTTTGTTAATCTGCACTGCTAAAGTTTCTGTCCCTGGATTTTACCTATAAAAACTACTCAGCTAAAAACAGTACTAAAAAGGCAGGTTACTACTCACTTTTTTGGCACTATTCACTGTAGAATAACAATTACACACACACAAAAACCAGCAATATAAAAAAATACCTTTCTAGCTTGCCCCGTAATAGGGAAAGGGGGGGGGGGAGAGAAAACATTAACTTCTCTTTCTAACAATGGATGGTGGTTTTAAACTTGCATTTCCATAATTTCCTCAGCAAGGCACTTATATGGAGGTTTTTGATAATGTATATAAGTTTCGCTGCAGCTAGACAATAAACAAAGTGTTCTTTATCTGGATGACAGACTTGCCCATCAGTTGTAGCGGCAAATGATTTGAACACTGCACTGAGAGATCTGTGTACATGTTTATTCCCTTACAACTCAGCTGCTGTAAACCAAACAAGGCAAAACCAGAGAACCAAGGCATCCTCTAGAGTGCCCTTCACCAACCCACAAATCAAAGGTGCTGTTTTCTAAGAGCTGGTGGAGGGCTCAGTGAAGAACAGAGGTATGAGCCCAGTCGCCTGAATTCCACATGCAGCCTCAAGCAGGCCAGTATTCTCTCAGTCACAGTCCCGTATCTGCACCATACAGGACAGTAATGCTGGCCTACCTTACAGGACTAATGCAAGCGCAGGGCTATTTTTGGGCAGGAACGCACAGGAACGGAGTTCCGGCTGGCTCCCAAGTTGGCCACGCCCAGCAGGAACTCATTAGCGTAATAGGCCACACCCAACAGCCGAAATCCATTAGGATTGGCTTCATTAGGGGTGTGTGGCCTAACATGCAAAGGAGTTCCTGCTACAAAAAAAGCCCTGGGTTTTGACAACAAACAAGGTAAACAGAATAAGAAGCAAAAGGTGGGTGTGGCTGGATGACCACACTTCTGGTAACATGGGGGTGCGGCCTAATGTGCTAACGAGTTGTGCTGTCAGAGGTGGCCCAATATACTAATGAGTTTCTGGTGTTGGGTGTGGCCTATTATGCTAATGAGTCCCTGCTGGGCTTTTTCTACAAAAAGAGCCCTGAGATAAGGTATGTGAAACACTCTGAATACTCCAAAGTGCTATGCAAATAGTAAGTAGCATTATGCTTTTCTTCTTGATGGACCAAAATACAGGCTTTTTATTACAATGAACACAGAAAATCTTCCACAGAGAATCTTATTCACCGTCAAAGCTGTATCTGGAGATTTAAAAAGTGACAGTATTCTTACCACATGTGCTTCTCAATTTGTAAACAGCTTGATACTGGCATGGAGAAAATATATATTTTTTGGGGGGGGGACGGGGGGACCAGGGACAGGACCCAAACCAAATGAGATAGTCAATGAGACACAAACATAGAGTTTGATGATCCCAAGGAGTGGGGAATATTCATTTCTCATTTCTTATTTATGAATGGAATTAAAATTCTCATTCGAATATGGTGGATGGAATTGAAGTTTTCATATCTGGGGTCATTCAGAAATCTTTTAAGCTTACCACTTCTGTTGATGTTTCTGCGTGTTCTGAAGTAACATGTTCTTGAAGAGACGTTTCCGTATAACCCATTTTTCCACAATAAGGACAAGTAAAAGACTGTGGCTGCTCTACAGAGAAAGCTTCTCCGCCATAGTACAAATCTGGAAAAACAAAAATATTCGGGCTCATGAAGAATTATATTTATACGGTAGGGGGAAACACAAACTCTGGAGAACTTTTAATTAAGACAATTTAACATTCTTAGCATAGAACATATCAATTTTATAGTCTACTGGAGGCATGCTGATGTATACAATTTAACTTCTTAATTTACAAGGCTATACTTTTGTGATACTACTTAATTACAAGTTCACCCTTCATTGCTAATCCCATACCTTACTCGGACAGAGGAAAAATTTAACAATCCATCAAGAAGTCTAGTGGCATTGAAGTCCTGAATTTGTGTCCTACAAACAGTAATCCCTACGATGAAATGCTTCAAAATGCCAGTATATTAAGGCCTTTGCATGCTGTTCCTACAAGACCGACCAATTTGGGCAATAATTAAAAGGCATTTTACGAATCATCACACACCTCTTCTTTCTCTCACAACAAACTCCGAAGTGGTAGCAGATCGCTGGATTCATATCACTATGGGGTGATATCCCCCATGTAATCAAAGCCTATCTTTGTAATCAAAACCCTCAATTCTTAAGTGACCGCATGTAATCAAAGCATGCAATCAAAGCCTATCACTCACAGGGGGAAAAATGCACCACCTGAAACTCAAATAGTCCTGCGCAGACCCCAGTGACATGAATGTTAACTGGAAGAGCAGTGCTCAGTAGACTGAGCCTAAAGAAGGTCAAAGCAAAGCCTCCGTGGGCCTGAGTCGGCCAGTCCTAAGAACATGGGCTTGCCTCCTGAGGCAAATCACCCTCCCCCCTTTCCCACGACAGCAGTTCAGCATTTGTAACCACCAGTGTTCATCATGGTCCACTTTTGAATCAGAACATGAAGGAGAGCAAGGGGCAGTGGAGAAGGGAGTAGTTGCTGTAAGGCTGGTTCCCAACTGGAAAATGGCAGTTAGGGGGGGAGGGTTGTATCTGCACCAGCCAAGATTGCAATCTTCAAAACTTTGCAGAATATTCTAAGAGCTCCTTGAAGCCTGAGAACTGTAAACTCCCACTTAGTGGCGGGAGGTCCAAACAGAAGAAGCAGAAATGATGGGCAAAGAGAACCACAGGATGAGGAAAGTTCAAACATAACGCCTCTCTTAAAACTGAAGCCCCCTCAGAAATACAAACCGCTTCTGCACAGTTATCGGAACTAGGGCAGTACTTAAGGAATGTGCTTGTTGCTCAGTAAGACTGTAGCACTTAAGCAGCTTTTGATGAGGCCACGTAAGTAGCAGCAGTACTGTTTATAACAAGGGCACTATTTGCTGGTTTCCATGACAGGAAGCTAAGAAGTCCATCATAAGTTCAAGAAAAGAACATTCTTAGGAAGTCTAAAAAATCATCACTACATTAAATGAACACTGTTTTTACACTTGCAAAAGAACAATTTCTACAGGAAAG